GAATATGGCTTGCACAAGGGGAGTTTCCGGTGGGTCACGCTCTGAAACATTTCAGGCTACTTTTCCCAAAGGAGAGAGGAAAATGCTTGGCCTCCGCCCGCCTCTGAGAGCTCGCATCATGAATGTTTCCCCCTTTGGCTTTGGCACTGTATTCCCAGCTTGTCGAGCTTCATTAATTCTTCCAATTAAAAGATTTGCTAAGATTAAAAGATTCACTCTGCCAGCAGCTCAAAGCCATTTTCGAAATATGGGAAGCTTAAATGCCATTTCAGATGTGGGTTTTTGTTATGCCCACACCAGGACGGAGCCTCGCGCTTGTTTCTGGGACAAAGGGGGGGACAACCCTCCCTCCGAGTCAGGAAGGCTCAGCTCCTGCTGGGTGAATGTTCAGACCACTGACGCGAAAAAGCAGCAAAGCGAGCAAGCCCACCCCCTCCATTTCTCGTGTCAAGTGGCAGGCTGAGGGCCCTGTCCCCAAATTAGACCCCTCGCACTTGGATGGGCAGGCTCCTCACACTGCTTCCAGTTTGGTGTCGTGGTTAAGTGTGCGGACTCTAATCTGGAAGAACCGGGTTTGATTCCCCACACCTCCACATGCAGCTGCTGGTGTGACCTTGGGTCAGTTACAAGTTCTTTCAGAGCTGTTCTCTCAGGAGCAGTCCTCGAAAGAGCTCTCTCAGCCCCGCCTACTTCATAGGATGTCTGTTCTGGGGAGGGGAAGGGAAGGAGATTGTAACAATAATAATAATAATGCTTTCGATTTATTGATCGCTCTTTCCCACATACCTGCGGGCTCAGAGCGATTTGACAGTTATTCTTGAGACAGTTGGACTAACAATATTTGTGGGGATAGGGAAGACAAACATACAGCATTAATTACACACACATTGCAGCTAGCCGGGCTTCATCTGTGGGCTGGGTCAGTCGTGTTCCTATGGCATCTTGTCGGCTGGCTGATGACGTCTGGCGTCTTGATGTTGTGCAGCCACACACTGCCACCGCCTGGCCGACTCGCTCCACTGCAGGGAAGCCGACACAGCTCTTCCGTCTTCCGGGTCATCGCACCTCAGAAGTTGCCTCGGCAGCTAACACCTTCCCGAAGGGAGGGGTGTGCCCACCCCCTTACGGGTGGTCCCCAATTTATCTACTCGCCGAAGCTTTCGAATCGCTGGGTAGACGATGAGCTAGGACAAGGCTTGGTTGCTCACACCAGCACGGGGCTCAGATGTTATTGTTAAGCAGGGGACAATCCCCTATGCCACCGCTCTGTAAGCCGCTCTGAGACGCCTTCGGGTAGTGAAGGGCGGGGTATAGATCCAATCTCTCCCTCTCCTTCCTTGTGACCGGTAATGGGAATGGCAGGTGCCATCGAGTTGCAGGCAAGTTACAGTGACCCCACAGGGTTCCGGGCTCCTTGTGAGTAAGTCTGTTTAATTACAAAAATAGGTAAAGAAGTGAAAGAGCAAACCGTCACCTCTGCTGACTTGCAGAACCAGCTTGGAGACTAAGCCTTACAAAGAAAGACTGTGGGAATTGGGCACGTTCAGCCTGGAGAAGAGGAGGTCGAGGGGGGGGGGACATGGTTACTCTTCTGAAGTGTTTGAAGGGCTATCATTTATTTATGTATTTATTTATTTATTTTATTCAATTTGTATCCCGACCTATCCCACATAGGGCCCTATTTCAGTTGGCAGTGGAGGACAGGACTCATAATAACAGCTTTAAATTATGGGTGGGGAGATATCAGTGGTGGGGAAATATCAGTGAAGCCAGTTCAGCGGTAGACTCTGTTGCCTGGAGACGTGGGATCGCCCTCCTTGGAGATGCTTGAGTGGCGGTCGGACAATTATTTGTCAGGGATGCTTTTGGTCATCCTGTCCGGCGCCAGGGGGTCAGTCTGGATGTCCTTTCATCCCCCTCCCACTTTTCAATTCTACGCGTCTATGCTTAGAAAAATTTTGACACAGCAAGACAACAGCAGCGTCTACCCTTTTTGCTCCTCTGTTCCCTACCATCCGGCACACCAAATTAAGCCCGGGCAAGTCCACCACTCCACCTTAAAGGCAGCATCGGTTTCCGAGCCCTGAAAACCATTTAGTAATTTGTGTGCATGAGTGTTGTGGATCACACAGAAATCCCTAAAGGGCCTCGGGTTTCCTTTGGAAAAAGAAATACATTGAATCAGTAGTGTGGCAGCACGTGCCGGCTGGCCTGCAGGCCTTGTTTCGCCCTGCCCTTCTAGGGGCTCCCACCTCCCTGAAGGGGCTTTTCTTTCACTCTCATCAACTCTGCCACCACCACCTGATCGTTGTAGGGATTTTCCTACAGAGAGGATAAGGGCCCCCAGCTCCCCTTCTCAGTTCTCGGGACATGCCTCGATGTCTTCCCTGCCCAATGCCTGGCTACCATGGGGACAGTTTAATGCCTTGGGCGCCCTTGGAGTAGTAGCCACTGGCCAACCCCCCCCAGACCCCCTTTTAAAATAGCGTGTCAGAAACAGTGGAGGTCTATGTGGTACAGAGAACCACTCCCAGCATCCAAAGTTTAAAGTATTTATTGAAAAGAAAAAGTTTACAAGCATACTTTTAGCACAGCACCAGATCTGAGCAAGGAAAATGAAAGAAATTGGTAAAAACACAAATCCTCTGTCCCTTCCCATATATATGCCCTATCTGATGGGGAAACATAGGACAGGCTGTTTAGCTTAGTTTTTCTGATTCTCTACAGCTAGCATTACCTTGAAGCTTGCTCCCAGTCTCCCAAGCAAGCTCATGGTCAATATGTCTGCTGCGGGAGTTAAGAGTCCTGTGTCCTCTCATCACCTGAGCATCCCAAAGAAAGAGAGCTATTTCCTGTTGCATGGAGATTTTATCATCTCTGCCCCCCCCCCCTTGACTGTGGTCAGCCCAGGTCAAAGCAGCTTTTTCTGTTGTGCCCAGGAAACTACTTCCTCAGCCTCTCTAGAATCTGAAACCCCACAACTCTC